TCCCAAAAAATTATACGTGTTTTGGAAATGTTGAGTGGAATTAGTCTAGAATCGGTTAATTTTATAGAAGAAAACCTTTCAAACAGCCTTAGTCCGTAAAGTTCCCACCTATCGGGCTGCGATTGGCTCATGTATTTAATCATTCCTACAACGTAATTTTCGGTTAGCGTGGAACATATCTAAGCGTTATAGGGGGGTCTACTGTACAGTCATGGCAGCTCATATCTGATTCCAGCAAACAGTGGGGATGCATGTTCTAACCTAACCTAACCTATTCTAATAATTTGGTTGGTAATAATTATGGTAATTTATTAGAATAGGTTAGGTTAGGTTAGGTTAGAACGTGCGTCCCCACCGTTTCCTTTCTTTTGTTTGCTGGAATCAGAGATGAGTCACCATGATGGTACATGCATCTGGACTATAACCGCTACTAAATGTGACATCTTTCATTTATACTAGCTATACAGATGTAGCCCATTACCTACTACCACTACCTGTAGAGCATTCAGCAAAAAAATACTCATTCCAGAACTATTGAATCTGCCGAATACAGGCAATAATACTACTTTATAGATGAATATTTCACCAAGAATCACAATTACATACGATTCCTCAAACTTTTTCGGTAAAGTTTGGCACGGTAATTTTATCCGAAGAAATCACCTAAGAGAAGCTTCTACTATAGTATTTTATATTAGTTAGATTTACTTTAGGTAGCCAAAATGGCGGCTCATCTCTGATTCCAGCAAACAAAAGAAAGGAAACAGTGGGGACGCATGTTCTAACCTAACCTAACCTATTCTAATAATTTGGATGGTAATAATTATGGTAATTTATTAGAATAGGTTAGGTTAGGTTAGGTTAGAACGTGCGTCCCCACCGTTTCCTTTCTTTTGTTTGCTGGAATCAGAGATGAGTCACCATGATGGTACATGCATCTGGACTATAACCGCTACTAAATGTGACATCTTTCATTTATACTAGCTATACAGATGTAGCCCATTACCTACTACCACTACCTGTAGAGCATTCAGCAAAAAAATACTCATTCCAGAACTATTGAATCTGCCGAATACAGGCAATAATACTACTTTATAGATGAATATTTCACCAAGAATCACAATTACATACGATTCCTCAAACTTTTTCGGTAAAGTTTGGCACGGTAATTTTATCCGAAGAAATCACCTAAGAGAAGCTTCTACTATAGTATTTTATATTAGTTAGATTTACTTTAGGTAGCCAAAATGGCGGCTCATCTCTGATTCCAGCAAACAAAAGAAAGGAAACAGTGGGGACGCATGTTCTAACCTAACCTAACCTATTCTAATAATTTGGATGGTAATAATTATGGTAATTTATTAGAATAGGTTAGGTTAAGTTAGAATGTGCGTCCCACCGTTTCCTTTCTTTTGTTTGCTGGAATCAGAGATGAGCCGCAATGACGGTACACGCATCTGGACTATAACCGCTACTAAATGTGACATCTTTCATTTATACTAGCTATAGAGACGTAGCCGACTACCTCTTACCACTATCACTACCCGTAGAGCATTCAGCAAAAAAATACTCATTCCAGAACTATTGAATCTGCCGAATACAGCCAATAATACTACTTTATAGATGAATATTTCGCCAAGAATCACAATTACATATGATTCCTCGAACTTTTTGGTAAAGTTTGGCACGGTAATTTTATACGAACAAATCACCTAAGAGAAGCTTCTACTATAGAATTTTATACAGTCGACCCCCTATAACACTGTAGATAATTCCGTTTTATATGAATTCCATGTTGTACAAGTCACTTAGATTTTACAAATACGTGTGCCGGGCTGTGAACGGCTCACGTATTTGTAAAATCTAAGTGACTCGTACAACATGGAATTCATATAAAACGGAATTATCTACAGTGTTATAGGGGGGTCGACTGTACTTTCCTATCACAAATTTACTACTGATTTGGTGATAATTTAAACGATTTCTTACCATAACCAAGTAAGCATTTATTCATATGGCAATTTCCTTTACTAAACGAATCATTCGCACACTCACCTTACTTATTGCATTATCTCCGTAAGCAGAACGTATTTGGCTGCCTTATACCAGTTTAAACGTTAAAATTCTTCCCTATATTCAGGTTAAGGTTACTTATGAACAAATTTCGACATCATTAGGTTAAAAATACATACAAATTTCTCAATTTCCACCTTTATACAATTATAAATACATTTTCGTGCGTTAAAACCTTGTAAATATTTTAAAATTTGATGATTTAAAGCCCCTCGTTGACCGCAAATTAGGCTTATTTACATTTAGGCTTAGTTAACTTTTAGTAAAACAGACGACTTTTTCGAATTAATTAAGCGATTTAAGCTTTAACTTACCTTTTTTTCTGTATAAATTGCCACTAAATTACCATAACTATCCAAATTTTTTAAGTATTTACGCTTATATCGGAGATTACGATTCGAAAGTCGAATTTAAAAACCAGATTTTCCATCAGACGATATACACGGAAGTTGACGTCAGGTTACACTTGCGTAAACGTTTGACGTCATATCCGATATGTGACGATCTCTATGTTTGAAAGTAATTTATTTTTATTTTTTTTTTTTAAATGGTCGTTATATTTATTTTTCTATTCAAGTGAATTTTTTTTATTAATNTCGACCGTTTGAATGTGAGCGGGGGAGACTAATTCCATTATCTTGTCGGCCATGGCGGCCTGTTGTTGGCGTTTTTCCTTAGATGCGGCTAAAATGGCCTGTACGTTATGAGGAAGTCTCGACAGCCAGAGAGATTGTAGCAGGTCTTCGCTAAAATGGTTTCCGGCCAAGTCGCGCATCCGTGATAATAGGAAGGATGGACGTTGGTCTCCCAGTTCCAACCCTTGAAGAAGAGTTCTGATTTTGGAGGTCTCGCTCTCGGAATAGACGTCGATGAGACGAACCTTTAGCGTGGAAAATTTATTCTGGTCGGGCGGGTTGAGGATTAGGTCCTGCACCGAATTTAAAATTTCCGGCTCTATTGCAGCAACGACGTATTTAAATTTGGTGTCGCCGACGGTTATGTTATTTATCGAAAATTGTGCTTCCAACTGAGCAAACCATAAGTTAGGGTTGCCCTTCCAGAAGGGTGGGGGTCTGATCGCAATGCGTGAAATGTGACGGTGATCGTCATTAATTTCTGCCTCAGACATGATGATTTTTTTACGTAGTTGTGGCAGTGCGGGGGTAGTTATCCTTAAATGATGCGTTGTGTGCGCAGTTCAGCACGTGGGGAAAGGACGAAGAACGATGGCACGTAAAGGCACGTGGCGAGGAAACAAAGGATGGCACGTGGCGCGAGGACAAAGAAGGGTAGCACGTGGTGTACTATACCTTTTCGTTGAGAAAAGTCGACCGTCGACGAAAAATTATCCGTGGTTACACGTTTCGAAGGTCTAGTTGTATGAGTTGGCAGTTCCAAAAAAGGATGAAAGTCCAACGTTGTATCCGATGCGAATGGATGGAATTTTCATGTCGCACGATAGAGTCCTTCGTGGGGTAGAGTCACCATAAAACATATATCACGTTCGGCTCACCAGTTTGTGGGCGCCAGTTCGTGTGAAATTACTCATTACAAACAGGGCCACATACAATAAAAGATTATCATTTATTCTATATATGAATTATGGCGCGACTGTACAGGTTAAAACACGAGGTGTTACTACACACGTCTGGGCCCTTAGTCTCGAGTTTTTCGTGTTACAACTCCCAACGTGTTGAAGGTGTCACGTGGTACCATCTCACACTCTGACGTCAAATTGGTAGTCTCGAGTTCTAACTCACGTGCTTTCCCATCTCACCGTGTGAGTTGCTACTCACGTTGAGTCGAGCATGTGAGATCGCTACACGAAAGTAAAAATGGCTGACGGATACGCAATTCTTATCGCTATCGAAGAGTTAGAAAGAGCCGAAAGACGTTGTTTGAGAAGGCAACGAATTTTTCGACCACGAGTAGATGACATTTCTTTTCGTGTCAAGTCAATACTAATAAAAAAAACTTTAATTCATAATTGATAAATGTATACAGCAAATTTTTCCAAAAATAAAAAGAAGTATCTAATTCATCGAAAAAGAGTATTAAAATGATAGTAAATTATATGTATAAATTATTAAAAGCATAGACACTATATTAAGATTATTTATTAATCAGAAGTGTTAAGTTCTGATTAATAAATAATCTTAATAGACAAAACAATTTAAGAAATAGATCGAGGAAGAAAACTGTATGAAGAAAGGATTAAATTAAAATACTTTTTCCATTACATAACGGAATTTTTAGCTCCAACACACGCGATTAATTTTTCAACTAATTCTTTCCACAAAGCGAACTGTCTTTTTCTTGTAAATTTATTGTCGAATTTTCCACTATTCATTTTCTTATTTTTTACGTATGTTACTAATATTTCTTTTTATTCTTCGCTTATTTTTTAAAATAAAACATTGGACGTTTTCATTTTGTTTCTGCGTACTATATTGCTATAAGACAATTAACTGTAGCACGTGTAAACTAATTCACGTTGATTTGTTTACAACTTGTTACAGTTAAGTTGATTGGTCGATTTATTATAGTCGCAAACCCAGATGCATTGTAAATAATCCCATCATGCTTAACGACACACGCAACCAAGTGAGTATGACGTATTTCCGCTCGCCTTTCGAGTTCGCTCGAAGAGTCTAACTCGAGACTACCGATTATGTGAGTCATAGTAAGACGAGTGAGTTCGATGACGTCAGTTCGAGTACAACACGAAAAACCCGAGACTAAGGGCCCTGGAGAGGTCCAAATCCAACAAGAATGTGTATGATGTCATAGGTCAGGTCAGGGGTTCCCCCTTGTGGCGACTTTGGGGTTTATCGCCAAAGCTGTCGCCACACGCCGTATTCTCACGATCGGGATATTGCGTGCTGCATATTGAATAAAAATTAGATCCTCTTGGGGAGACCTCAAAGTCATTTGCCTAGGGAACTGAGTTTGCTCGGGCCGGCAGTTTATAGCGGTAGGCTGTCACCTTGACTTCTCGGCCATCCGGCCTACGATTAGTAGGTTGAGTTGGGAGAGAGTGATAAAAACATGGTCTTAGTACCTAGAATGTACAGTATGTATAGGCCTATACATGCATTGATCTTAGTAGTTACAATAATGAAACTTCAAAACACATACAAAAAATTGCTCGAGCTAAAGTTAACAAGGGGTGGGAACCTGACATGTTGGTCCCAGAGACTTAAAATTGTAACTTTGCCACTTCGCCATGCCTGAACCATTGCACGTTTCTCAAATCTCTCTTCAGCACATCATATTACAGGGAATGATCTTTAATTTTATAGCTGAACCACGTATAAACAGTACCCTTAGTCGTTTACTCAAACAATTGAGAGTCGGAAAAGATGAAACCCTCGTTCAATTAATACGAAGTATACATATTGTTTCTAAATTTTTATAATCATTTTTATCTATTATTTTTTCTGCATTTGCTCTTGAGGTTTGCCTTTACCTCTGTTGCCAACAATCAATTAAATTCATAGTTTTCTTTGTTGAATATGTGCGAATAAATGTAACTGCTTCTATATCCTGTCCTGGATTGAGGTCATTTTCATACTTCCTCTAATAAAATTATTTATTATTTTATCTTTCCTTATGACTCCAAATATCCATCTTAGCATGTTCATTTCCGTTACCTCATTTTTCTTTCTTGGCTTTTTCTCACTGCCGTAAACTGAATACCGTGAAGCATAGCGGCTTATGACAGCTCCATAAAAGTTTCTCTTTGAATGGCATTTTTTGTGGCATAACACTTTTTTTAGCTTTTTGCCAGCTCTTTCAGCCAGCTTGAATTCTATTTGTCACCTCGTGTTGAAGATTCTTATCACTATAAGACTAATCCTATCTATTTAAATTTATTATTACGTAACATCACTGTTCTAGTTCCGCAAGTATATCGAACGTAGGTTTGTTTTGGATAGTCACAGCACAGCCTATAATTTGATTTTTTTAACTGACTTTGATTCCTTAAGCCTCTAAAGCAGTTGATCAATTTACCAGTTTTGATTAACATTATTCCTTATATTATCCATCAACACTACATCATCCACCAACATCAAGCACAATGGGACAGTACTGTACATCATTCTAAAGGACATAGATCTTGGTGTGGTATTCTGGAAAATTATGACATAATTTTTTGTGAGTCCCTTATTACCAGCAGAGTACTTCTCATGGTATATTAATTAACATAGAGCTTTTCTATAATAATAAAGATCACAATTGTGTAGTTCTCTCTTTCTTTCTCAACATGTGTCTATTACCTATCTTACCATAAATATCGCCTCAGCACCTGATTTACCTTGCATGATTACCTTGCATCATTTTTTCCCGAAATTTTCATTGGAGAAAAGTTTAATGCTCATATAGTTTTCACATTGTTAATCACTTTCCTTATCCTTAGGCTATACTGTATATTAAAATCAGTATGCCGTTCTTCCGATTGTTACATTCTCCCTTCTTCTAGTATGTTAATTTAAAACGTTCGTTTAGCCATTTCATTCGCATTTCTTCTACCGCTTTCCAAACTTCCACTGGCTTTTAGCTTTGCGGTTCTTAATCTTACTTATATTTTGTAGATTCTAATTTGAAGATTGGATATTTGGTGTATTTCTTATTCAATAGCTTTTTAAATTCCTTCGGTCATTTCTTAAATTCTCCTTCTTCACCAGAACTCTGTTCTTAGTCTTTCGAGAGGCGTGTTAGGCTATACCTCTGGACTTCTTTTGTTTTATATCTGCAATTATACAGATTTTTTTTTCTTCTTCTTATATTATCTTGATTATTCCAATTTATTTCCAATTATTTCCTTTAAAAGAGGAAATCCTTTAAAGTTTCGCCATTTTATCATTGAGATTATCATCACTTTCCTCCATCGGGATCTTTTGCAGGATTCTAATCGTTTGTTAAACTTTTTATTATCTTCATCAATATATAGTTGTGGGACGTTATATTAATCACTTGTTTGTTAGTTATCATTTTGACCATCGTTAGATGTGTAAAAACCCAGAAAACTTCACGCGGCCAGTATTTCGGACGCCATTCTTGACCACCCTTCTGCCCAATTATGGCCCTAACCCAGGGGTGACCAACAGTTTTTGGTTACGGGCCGAATTGGAAAGAAAATTTTTTCCATGGGCCGAATTGGAAAGAAGACTTCTTCCACGGGCCAAATTAGAGGCTGCCCTAGGAAGATTTTTGAGATGGTACGAGATCTCATTGTGGTGTCAGATTAAAGATTACAGGATTACAGATACATTTTTCACATTATTATGCTTTATCAACACTCAACGCTGTATTTACGAGATTTGTAATGGAGGGATAAGTCTAAACGCATAGTGTTGTGTTGTTGATTTTTATTTTTAGGCGTCAGAATTTTTCATCGAGCTATTCGGACTTCAGTAGCTAATATTGAAAGATTGATCGCGGACCACATAAATTCATTAGACGGGCCGGATCTAGCCCGCGGGGCGTATGTTGGCCATGCCTGCCCTAACCTTACCCATAAAGGGGATACTAAAAGAACCCTCTTGGTACCCGTAGGGCAGAGGCAGTAAAAAGTATCTTAGAAACTGAGATGAAATAAATAAAACAAAGAATACATGCCAGTATGTATTAAAAACTTTATACCTGTACATATATATTGACGTAAACTAAAATATTATTTAATGATAAATTTGTTTTATATATGCAATAAACAATTACAACATTTTTAAAAGAAATTTTAAAATTAAAAACTATCGATAAAAATATGTGTTGACGTTTTTTTTATCGTGTATAAATTGGGCTAACTTTTGGCCCTTCTTTTTAAATATGTTTCACTGCCGCAAGGGGTCGCTATCTTCGAAATGTTAAGTTACACGTGTAAAGATTTTTCTTTTGTTGTGATCGAAATATGTCGAATTGTCCTTTCAAATGAAAGTAAGTTTGTTGTTTATAGATTGTTGTAAGTGCTTTTTACATGGTAATTCGGCCTTTCCAATTGCTGTTGCTGTATAGTTATTAATTAATTTTGTTACCAGTTTTGCCGCGAACTTCATTGAGGCCCGTGTAACAAATACATGAAGCGTGAAGCTTAAAATATTGGGTTAATCTTTACTTACGTGCACCGTTATGGTAAGACTAGATTCGGGGGAGGGCAGTGAAAACCCCCAAACGGTAGACCCCTTTTGCGATCAAAAAAATGTCTAATGAACCACACGCTACAGAAGCGGAGTCACGTGACCGGAAATGACGTACGTATACTCGCGTGTGCTACATAGTTAAAAGCCAGTCTTCGCTGAGCAACGTGCGCCCCCCATCAGTGGGCGAGTGGTCTCCGTTGCCGCTCATCGCGGTGACCAGACCCTAAACACTGGGAAGTTCGTCGTGGGTTCGCGCCGCGATCGGACAGGCTGGCTGCAAGGAGTTTTCTGGGTTTTCTTCTTGCCAATAACGACTAAATAGGAGGCCAGTTCCCCTTAAAGGTCCTCCCGAAAGGCATTATTTCCCGCGCGTGCGTATAAGCCGTTAGATACGGCCGGCTCTTCGGTCGCATAGCGATCAATAACTCGTCTCTCGGAGAAAAAGCGTGTTAGGCTATAATCTCCATATGAACCAAGGGTGTCGAATAAGAATAAGCAACGTGCGCCCCAATTTTGGGCGCACGTTGCTCAGCGAAGCACTCGTCGAGGGCCGCCCGTAGGGGTGTGGTTCATTAGACATGTTTTGATCGCAAAGGGGGGTTCCCCCTCCCCACGTGACCTGCATTTGTACGTAGAGTCCGAAAGAAGATTGGCAATTGTGCTGAAACCCCTTTCCACGAGGTATGAAGATAGAAAAGCTATCAAAAACTTTCTCGTGATAGTCTATAATGCAGAATAAGGTATGTGTCTCTGAAGCCGAAATTGCTGATATCCCTTTCTGAACTGTACCTTAAGTTCTTTGTTAGTGCTTATTCCAATCAGTTGTTCTTGTAATATGACATCCGTTTCTTCAATGTCACTGTACGAATCAATAATCCACTGTGGTATTTCCATAGTCAAAACATCCTCAAACCTAGTTTCAAAGTCTGTGTGAAGCATATTTAAATGTTGAACGTAGGTTGAAACATCATCATCCTGGCAGTTTCATTTATCATCCTGGCAGACATCATCATGCTTCATTAGTTTAATTCTGACAAGAAAAGCTGAAATTATGGACTTTGTTTTTATCAAATTTAGACTGTCACCTTGTTACTATAAGTTAACATCATTAAATTTAGTGAACAAATCTGTTAAATAAGCAATGTCTGGTTTTCACTTAATTAAATTTTCTTTTAAAATTGGATTTTTATCATCCAAAAACTCTAAAACTGTCTCAAAAAGTGAAAAACGTCTTGTCAAACATAAGCCTTTTGACAGCCAGCATACTTCAGTGTGAAGGAGCAATCGATGAAAGTTCTCATCATTTTCTTCACATAGCTGCATAAATAACCTAGTATTTAACAAATTTTTTATTCCTTCGAATTTTGTTTACTGCATAATGACAAGAAGATTGTTGCAACCTACCACTCAGATTTTTAGCAACTAAATATTGTCGATGTACGACAGTGTATTGCAAACACCCTGAGTAAATTTTGTTTTAAATGGCTTATAAATCCACGATAGTGCCTAAACATGACCGGTGCTCCATCTGCTGCCAGTGATATTATATTTGATAAAGGAATTGCTGTTTTTATGAAATAAATTCTCAAAAACATTACCTATTGATTCGCCTTTGCGAGAACTTTGACAACAGACACTAAAGAGCAGTTCTTCATGGATTTCTTGGTCCATAACAAAATAAACATATGTTAATAATAATGCTTCTTTACCAGGTAAAGTTGACTTGTTTAGTTGTATAGAGAAATGGGTCGTTTGCAGGTAATTACACAAGAAGCTTTTAATATCATAACTATTTCATCAATACGTCTTTAAACTGTGTTGTTGCTCAAAGGAATATTTTTATTATATCATATGTAGATTTGTGTAGAACAGTTCTTAAAACCTCTTCAATGGCTGGCAAAATTAATTGTTTCCCGATAGTATGCTATAAGTAGCGAGATAGTGTAAGACCATCAATTTGTTTGTGACTCCAAAGCAACATACTATCCATCGTGAGTCTCATGAAGTTTTTCTTTAAGTATTTGAAAGTATTTCAAATCTGTCTGTATTATCAGGGTGACACCATCTCAGATGATCCTCTAGCTTGGATGGTTTCATAGCTTCATTGCTCAAAACTTTGCTGCATAAAAGGCGCACAGGCAATCGTTTGTCCAACAATGATGGAATGAAGCCAGATTTCAAATAATCAACACTGTATTGTCTACATTACTTTTTAGATTCAGCCATGTTTATTGGTTATCTGTACACAAAAATTAAGCTATTTAAATATGATAAGACATAGCATTCAAAATTGATACCTGGTGTAAAACCTTATTTTAATTTAATCTTTAGATATCTTTTGTATGTATATAGAGAGGAATCATGCACCATAGAATCTTGTTTTTAAATATAGAGAAATATATAATACTGATTGCTAAAACTTTGGACAAAAAAACTATTAATTATGGAATACTTGTGTAAATGTGGTTGACTTGAATATTGAACTGCTATTACCTCAAGTTATGATCTATGCCAAGGGTATTCAAACATTTTAACAGTGCGACCCCAAGGTAATTTTCCACGACCCCAAATTCGGTCGCGACCCATAGATTGAATACCACTGATCTATGCAATTGGAAGAACTACAAAAGAAAAATTATAAAAAAAAATTANTACCATGTTGTGTCTCCAACCAGGCTTTTGTTTATTGTAAACAACCAACTGTTCAAGTATGAAATCTGCTTTGCTGTTACCTACAAATATATATAATTTTATTAGTCACAAACAAAAATCAACCAAAAATTAAACAATCAATAGTAGGCTACATAAAACCAATTTTGATTTGAATATTGATATAACATATATTGATATTGATATAACAATGTATTACATAATATTCCTAATATCCTATCACATGAATTATTGTAACATACCTTGGATGCTGTCATTCTCTAAGCTTTCTATATTATATTTTCTGAGTTTTCCAGCCAACAATTTATTTTCTGCTTTCATTCTACACTGTTTTTCATATAGTTGCTTGATAATGTGACCTTGCCTACTGCATTTCTGCTCCAAAGTTTTCAGTCTTCTCTTGTCAGACTTCATTTTTAACATTCCCTACAAAAACTTCTATACTAGATGCAGAATTAGATGTCACAGTCTGAAAGTTCACATGTTAGTGTTGAACTAGAGAACCTTCTTTCATAGTCTAAAAAAACGGCTTCATTCACTAGACTCATTAATGGGACTTGATCATGTACTTGTGGCTCAAATTGAACATGCTTTTGTTTGGTACAGGTACAAACTCCTTTAAATACACTCTCACCAAAAACTGGAACTGTAATATTCACATACGTAAACTGCATCAACACGGATGTCATTCTTTTATCATCAGCGTGGAAACGATATCTTGACTCATAACATACGTCATATACGATACGTCACAGCCGTTTTTCGTTCTTTTAAAATTTAAAAGGCAGCTAAGTTCTATTTATAGAACTGTTTTTCCAGTTTGCATTTCCTGATGAAGGCCGATAAATTCAGTGGCCGAAAACGTTCGACATGTATTTTTTGATGTTCATTTGCTGGAAATTTTGAATTTACATAAGTATTGGAATAGCCAAATAAATTAAAATTCTTTAAAATATCTCTTAAAAAATTTTTCTAAAAAAGTATATTTACAATATTTTAAACTAATCTTTGCTTATTTTTACGCTTAAATTCTTATTTATACAATTTTTGGAGTTTATAATAGCCACACTTTCTTTGAATTTTCTATTATATGTATTCTTTTCTTTATATAAAATTTTTACATTAGCTTTATCTATATTACAAATATTTAGTAGATAATTATCATGAAAGACAGAATTTAATCTATGATATTTAATATCTGCAATATGTTCTTTTAATCTTGTATTTAGCTTACATTTAGTTTCATCTATATAGATACTGGCATCTTTCATGGAATCTCGTAGACATAGTACGTGGAATCTCAAATTTTTGTATAAATATCAGTCAGAACCCAGGAGTTTTTAACATTGATTTAAAAAGTTTTCAGCTTTAAACATCATAAAAAGTTTCAACTTGATTTAAAATGAGTTGTAAGTATATTTTTCATATATATTTATATTTAATTAATAATATATTTCAAAAAAGAAAATATTTTAGATTCTGGTGCTTTATATTCCAATACCTTCATACTTTAGCTGTGAGTATTAAATAATAAACATTTTTGTATATACCAATATTTAATCGATATTAATATTAATTAGATTTCAAACCTCGCAATGATTCGTGGGTGGATTGTGATGATGATAAATTATTCTCTAGATATGATGAAAAATGCAATATTGGAGTAATTATTGATTTTGAAGCCTTTATGATACATGACATGGATATACCTTTTAACACTTTGTGCTGACAGCTTGGGTTTTTGGTATGAAATTCGAATGAATTTCAAAAAATTAATTTCTTTAATGAAATGATTACTTTTAACGATTTAAGTTATTCCAATAAAAAAAATGTAAGATTTGCTAACCGTTTACACCAGGGGTGTCCAACCCGCAGGCCGCATGCAACCCAAGGCAAGTTTGAATGCGGCCCAATAAACGTGTAAACAAAACCGACAAATGTTTTAATTTTTTAATTATTTTTTTATTTCAATGGCATAAACTCAAAAAAGAAGGTTCACAAAGCCATAAACTTTTATACATATTTTATTTTTGAGTGAAAAGGAAATATTTTCAAATACTTGGAGATGTGTGAATGACAAAGGAATACTACATAAAGCTGGAGTTGTGACTGAAAGGATTAGAGACCCGAATTTAAGAAAAGGAGAGAAAGGTCAAAAGATAAAAAGTAGTGAGAAAGATTAAATAGACCTTCTGTTATGCAAATATTGGCCTTTAATTTTCCAACCTTTCCTCACTACTTTTTATCTTTTGGTCTTTCTCCCCTTTTCTCAAATTTGGGTCTATAATCCTTTGAGTTCCAACTCCAGCATTATTTAGTATTCCTTCCAGAGTTGCAAGATTTGGCTACTTTGCGCCAAATTTGGCTACCATTTTTTTAGTTTGGCGTAAAAATTATAATTTGGCGCATTGGCTACTTTTTGGGCTACATATTATTTATAAATATATAGACGAATAAAAATGCTCTTAAAAATGGTGTTTCATCATTTTTTATTAGAGACCCAAATAAAACAAATATTTATGTTTTTGAAATAAATCTTTGTTTGGTTCTTTTATAATAAATGAATTTATCTATTTCTAATTAAAAATTGAAAGTATCTGTTGAAGTAATTTTTTAAAATATCCTTTTTTGTAATAAAGTTATAGTACTTATTACTATAATCTAGACATGTTAATCCTTAAATATACAAGTATATTTAAGGATTAGGTCGCAAATATATTATATATACTTGTGGCCCAAAATGCCATGACTTCTTCCAGAGGAACAAAAAGGTTGGACACCCCTGGTCTCTATTTAGCATATAATAAACAGTATTTTGGGGATTGGGAAAAAAGCGATAATGTATGTGAGGTTTTATATAATTTATTTTTAAAATATAAAATATTTTATTATAAAGGAGGGAAAATTTAAAAAAATTACTTAAATTTAACATTGCAGCCTGTCTGATGTTTTCTCGTATAAAACATACATGATCAAACATGGTAAATATATTTTATTATTATATAAAAATTGGTAAATATGATTTTTTAATTTATGTTTTTTATTTTACTTTGAACAGGTTTCTGGTGACAAGTGTTTTGATAAATAAAAGATTTTTACATTTTAAATATTTTTATTATTTTTTATTGAATTACAGCATTGATTATACATTATAACATGCGGATGTGCTAAATAAAAATGATGTTTAACAAATTTCTTTACAAATTCATCATTATAAAATTTATCTGTTGTACTTAATTTTTTTAAACATTGATTTCTATTCATTTTATATAAAAAATACAAACAGAAATATCCACGATTCGTTGAATATAAATTCTGATGAACAATATTATTCCAACAATGTTTTTTAGAATTTAATTTAATAATAATCGGTTTTGTCGGTTTTATTCCGTAACTATCGTAGTAAAAACGAGTTTTTCTTGTAAAGAATGCAGATACGCCAATGACTTCTGGGTTTATTTTTTTTTTGTCTAAATTAATTATAAACAATTTATATTTAGTGGAGCAAATGGGTATATCATTGGATGCAGAACTCCTTCAAAAGTTCTTTCTATTTTTGAGTCACTGGATGCCAGTCTCCACAAAGTGATAGTATTCATTAATATTCTAAATACAGTTCTAGAGTGTTATTGTATTCTAGTAAACAAATAACATTTACAGTTTCTAATAATGTGGTCAAAAATTTAAATTCGATTGAAATGTTTTCTTGTTGATTGATTCTGATGCGGAACAATTAGGAGTAAGATCAAAACAATATAAACTATAGCTGTCTTTATAATCCTTGTAAGATATATCTGTAAATTTATGGTGATTAATACATCCTATGTCTTAAAGTACAGTAGAGCGTCGATTATCCGAATCAATTGGGGACGGGTTGTTCGGAAAATCGATGTTCCGGATAAACAATTATGTACGAAAAAATATATTAATTTATCCCATCTTGACATTTTTCTTTGTTGCATGGCGCTTCGCGTTGAATTTTCGTCGATGTTAAGCCTAACGAAGACTATTGTATCGTTAAAAATTATTTTTTTATTTTGTACAAACAAAATAAATATATTGAAAAATATAAAAACAATAAAAAATTATACTTCAGAAGTTAATTTAGTATCAAAAACGTAAAATATTTGAGTAGCCCAAGACATAGCTAAAGATTTCAGCGCCACAGCACTGGCGAAAATTTAAATTTGCGGACTGGAATTCTTTCGGATAATCGACGCTCTACTGTAATAATATAAAATTTTTCGCGTATATGTTATTTGTATAATTGGGAGTATAAGGTTTCGGAGGAATCATTTGGTTGTTTTTTAATAAACATATATTATTTAAATTATAATTTTTAAAATTGAAAGGATTATATTTTACATTTCCATTAAAGTCAACTCTCCCTGATGTTACATAACATGAGAAAATATGTAAATAAACGCATGCAAAAATGCAAATTATAGTCAAATATTGTAAAATAGTCGAAATAATGTATAGTGTACATTATCTGGAAGGAAACTTGTGTTAACTTGAACCCTCAGATTCCCATGGCATTAGAGTAATTGAGACTTAGTGTAAATAATGGTATTAAAAAATAGCAGTTTACTTTATAGATGTAATTTACTAGTTTTCATGTCCACTCCGGCCAGGAGTGGACTTGTTACCGAAAGAGACCCGGAAATTCTGATGTCATCACATAACTTCAGAATAAAAGATTCAATAAATAGAGTTCTAATAAAGATAGAACGTAGAAACTTTTTATTCCAAAGTTAAAAGACTCGTCTAAATACAGTAATATATAGCCTAAATATGTATTCGATAATTTTTACTTTCCTGGCTGTTATATATAATAGAGGGAAAGTGTAGCACTCAGTCAAAAAATGACCCATTCCAAATTTTTACATCTTTGGACTCAGCACCTTGAAATTTCAAGATATGCAAAAGATTCGAGGTGTTTTTCTATATGTGTGGGGGGCATGACAGGGTAAACAAAATCATTGTTCACCCTGTTTGAAGCATAATAATTTCTATGGTCAGAGTGGTTAGAATTAGAGTCATATGGCTTAACACAGGAGTTAGTTATTAAGTGTCAAAGTGTTTGAACTAAATCATGTCCCTATTTACATTGTAACATCTTAGACGAGAACATCTTAACAGGTTTTACTGTTGTAAAAGTTCGTCCGATGGAGAATTATTTTTAATAAAATAAAAGACAAAACTGTCCAAAAAGGTTTTACTGTACTATTATAAAATGACAAAAAAGCTTGCTTTGAGGGTAGTGACGAGTTTTATTTTATTTTTTATTTTGAATGCTAATAATGAGTAAAATATTCATTAAAAGATACGACACATGACCCCTTTTATGTCTTCACCCTATTGACCTTCAATTAAAAACCAAAATTTAATAGTATTAATGCCCTTTTATATGGAAGCTACAGTACCACATTTCGTTTTTTAAACTTTACCCACTCTGAGATATTGTTTAATATCTCAGAACAGAAAATAAAGAAATTAAACAAATTAGATGACAACACACACACGCATGCAAATTTTTTCCCTTTTATTGACTTTTGAGGGGTTTGGGAGATCTCCAAACGTGTAGATATGCAAAAACGAAAAAAAAACTTGGAGGATCAAATTTGACAGAATTCCAATACTTTTCCGTTTTATATACATAACAAGTTGGTAAGTAAAAAGGAGTCGGAATTGGCGGATTTTTTGACGACTCCGACTCCGGTTAAAACACCAAAACTCCACGACTCCAACTCCCTGATTATTGGTTAAAATGGTTACATTATGGGCCACTTAGTATAAATATAAGATGTCTATCACATTTTTCGCAATCCAATTCTTTCTATGTTTGTTTTGTTTCAGATAAAATGTCGAGTACACTCCAAACTTCTGAAGACATACAAGAATATCTTTTTGATTTTGAATCAGATGATGGAAATATGTATATACTTACATCATCTGATGGTGAACCATCAGATGATGTGAAGCAGATGTAGGCCTACCATGCACAAGGGCAAGCGCTGGACCTTCTAACCTCGCGGGTATAACTGGATAGAAGTTGCGGAGTTTTCTGCTCCTCCCTTTCCCCTTCCAGGGGAATATATCTGGAGCAAGAGTAATTTCTGAACGAAATTCTGAACTGGATATATTTGAAGTGTTATTCACTGAAGAAAACATCTGTATAATTACAGAAGAAACGAATCGTTATTTTGAACAGGTCAGTGCAAAAATTTACTATTTCCTAACATACGGGATTCTTGGAAACAAACAACAACTACAGAAATAATGTTATTTTTTGGACTATGCATGCTAATGGGGAGTGTTTCAAAAAATTCTATTGGTGACTATTGGCATAGTAATCCGAAAATTTCAATGCCGTTTTTCTGAAACTATGTCCAGAAATAGATTTGAGCTTCTGTTTACAATGCTTCGTTTTGTAAACATTTGAACACTAAATCCAGAAAATCGACTTTCTAAACTTGGAAATATATTCAAAAATCTAAAACCCTCCTGGAAAACATATTTATTTCCGTACAAAAATGTATGCTTTTTCTTTGGAAAGGACGACTTTTGTTCAGACAATATATCCCTTTAAAACGTTTTTATTTTGGAATAAAATTGTATGCTTTAGCTGATTGTAAAACAAAATTTGTTTTGGAGATCATAATATGCACTGAAAAAACGACAGAAATTCTGGATAGATATAAAGCTTTCAGACACTCTGGAAGTGTAGTACTTACGCTCCTTGAGTATATTATAGCAGAAACCATAAATTGTATATAGACAGTTATTATACTTCATCTGAACTTCACTTTTGTTTGAGAATAGAGGGAATTGAATCATGCGGAACTGTCCAGAAAAACAGGAAGAATTTCCCAAATGATAAAAAAAATTAGTTTGAGGAGAAGTGACCCATTTTTCATACGGACAGCATGTTATATGAACGATGGGTGGATAAGAGAGAGGTGAGAATGTTGTCAAATTTTCTCCCAAACGAAATGGAAACTGAGACATTAACTTCAACATTAACAAGAAATACCATAAAGCCACTAAGAAAATATAATGAAAATATGGGGCAGTAAATAATCTTGATGCAGTCCTCAGTTACAATCAAACTCCCAGATAAACCATTAAATGGTACAAAAAGCTATTTTTTCATTTTCTGGATATATGTACAGTACATATAATTCTTTCATTTTGTATAAAGATAAGCATCTAAAAAATATTGACATTTGTCGAAATTTAGACACGAACTAATACAACAAATTGTAGAAAAATACAGAGAGGAAGCCCCAGCAACTATGAAAGTCTGAATAGACTAAAAATAGAGAAACATTTCCTTTCTCTTATTCTACCCACTGAAAATAATAAAAATCCCTATAAAAGATGCCACGTTTGTGGAAACTCAAAAGTTAACCTGAGAAGACTTGTTCAAACCCGGTATGAGTGTAAAAAAATGTAATGTTGCGCTATGCATTACTCCTTGTATTGAGATATATCATAAGAAAATTGTGTTTGAGTTGTATTTTATTTTTTTATTTACTTTGTATTAACATGATATTGTATATATGTTATTATCTTTTTTTCTTTTTTGTTTACTTTTTTACATTATAAATGAATAAATAATAAAAGTATGTCAACAAAGGGTTTTTAAGATTATTTTTCATTTATGATTAAGTAATGCTAACCAAAAGTTAGAAGTAAAGCTAGTTTATTCACTGGATAATTAATGGCAAGTCTGAATGCCGTAACCTCAGTCACATTATTAAATATTATCCAATATGTCGTGGAAAAAATATCAGAAGCAATCAGTAAGAGAAAAGAAACAGTATATAAATTCTCTTCCACGATAATAAATCTTATATGAAGTAAATATATACAATTGAACCTGAGAGTCTCGATTTAATGGGAATGAGAAAAATTGAATATATAGATGTTCCAGTACAGTAAACAATAATATACTTGAATGCAGGTACGGTGTTTCACTGATGCAATAGCAAGTACAGTACACACTTGTATTAGATGTAAATGAAACTATTTGTGGTATATTTAAACAGAAGCCGTTTGTCAATAGTTTGTAATGCCCGACTTTCTTTAACCAGTATGACGCAAGCCAAACTGGTAGCCAGAGAAAAACCGCATTAATTGTAACAGATATATCTTATGGTATCACAACATGGTCGCTGATCTTTGAATTTGTAATTGACACTTCAGTTCATAATTTGAAACAGAGGTACATATAAGAATGTGCATATAAACATTTTAATATTTACTTTATAACATTTTGTAAACATAACATTTTACAATTGTAATATCTGTTATTGTATGGAAACACTTAATATCACAGTAAAAGAAATTGTACAAATATCTATCCACTTTTTAACTGCAAGATTATTTCTGATTGCTCATTTTTAACCTTTCAACGTCACAATAATCTGCATTTTAACATTTAAATTTTAAATACAATGAAACTGCAGGGTCGGCAGCCTTTTGAGTCGGAAGAGCCAAAAATTACAATTTACAAAATTTCAAAGTTTTTAAAGAGCCACAAAATTTTTTCTTGCCAACAATAAATAGTACTCGCATAAATAAAGTTTTTTGATAAAAAAAACTAATCTATTTATTCATATATAAGTAGTGTTTTTCACAACAAATTAGATAATATATATATGGCATTATTAGATAATTACTTATTATTTAAGTAAATTATTACTACAATTAAACATTTACTTACAACACTAACTTGTACTTCAATAACAAACAATTGAGCAAACAAATTCAATGGGAGCGTTGGCTTTGCATGGTTTTAGAAAGTTTGGATAAATTTGGCTCTAATAGATAATTACTTATTATTTAAGTAAATTATTACTACAATTAAACATTTACTTACAACACTAACTTGTATTTCAATAACAAACAATTGAGCAAACAAATTCAATGGGAGCGTTTGCTTTGCATGGTTTTAGAAAGTTTGGATAAATTTGGCTCATAACTTGTTGTTTTAAGTTTCAAACACGACTCTAAATTTTCATTTGTTAGTTGGCTTCTTACTTTACTTTTAATTATATTCGTGCACGAGAATGCTTGCTCGCACGAATATGTCGATCCGAAGATAGTCAGTACTCCAAATGCCAACTTCTTCACCTCACTGTAGTAATCTGGAAGACTATTCCATGCGTCAAATATAAGTGCCTCAACTCGCGGCATTTCTTTTAAAGCTGTTCATTTTTGTTGCGTTATGTACATACATTTCTGGACCTCCAACTATTCCAACTTGCTTTTCAACTCTGTAAATTTTCCACTCCACAAAGCTTTACTTTTTAAATCGATCAATTGCATTTCTAGAGATCCAGTATTAATTCCAATTGGCTCAATGTGGATTTCGTTACTATTTGTGTTGAGAGGATTTACTATGAATGCTAAAGTGGTTTTGAATTGCATAATCTGTCAGCAAATTCATCTTTAATTTTTTTTATAACTGTTCTGAAGTAATTTGTGTCAACAGTTGCACTGGTTTTATTGCGATATTGCTTTAGAAATTGAAAATGAAGTAATTTACTGCTCTGAATATCTTCTGCAAAAAGAATTAATTTTTCTTCAAAACAAACCAATTCTTCTACCAAAACATAGGCTGTGATATCCACCATAAAGTAAAATTTTTGGCACCATTTGTCGTTCTCTAATTCAGGGTGATTAATGCCTTTTTCATTTAGGAATGTATTTATTTTATTCAAGCACAATGCAAAACGTTTCAACACCTTACCTTTAGAAAGCCATTGCACTTTATTGTGAAGAAGGAGGTCGGAATACTGAGTCTCCATTTCATTTAAGAATTCTGTAAACTGACGATGGTAGAGTGCTTTTGACAAGATGCTGTTAACAATCTTGATTACTAAATTCATGACCTCAACTATTTCGGCCGGAAATGTTTGGGCACAAACTTGGTGTAATATGCAGTGAAACATAAGAATTTTGTGATTTATTTTGCTCTGAAGAATCGTTGTTGCCCCTTTATTTTTTCCTGTCATACTTCTGGCTCCATCAGTTGCTATTGAAATGATTTTATTTAAATTGATCTTATTGTCTTCAAGGCATTTTTGCACGGCATTCGCTATATCTTCCCCTCTAGTTTGTCCTGAGAGTGGTAGCAATTTTATAAGTTCTTCCTTTGGACCTTGGGAATACATATATCTGACAAAAAGGGCAACTTGTGCCATGTCTTTTATGTCGCAAGAGTCATCTATAGCAAGTGATAAGGCAGAAGGAAGTTGAATATCTTCCACCTGCAAATATGTTACATTTGAAGACATTTTAGCTATTCTATCTTGTACTGTTTTAGCGGATAGTGGCAAATCTTTGATTTTTTTCAAGATTTCTGGTTTGCTTTTGAAATCACGAAACAGTTCTTCAGATGCACGTATGAAGCAATCTTTGACATACTCACCATCTGTGAATGGTTTTTCTTTTTGTTTTGCAATTTCTAGTGATACCGCGAAGCTTGCCAGATTAACATTACTTGTAGATTGCATCCAGTTACTTAACATGGAACTTGATTGCTGTTTTTGTTTTTGGAGCTCGTCGACATCTTTTTTCATTCTTCGCCGGCTGGAAATTTACTAGCAAACTGAGTATGTTTTTTTAGTGAAGTGTCTCTCTAAATTTGATTTCTTATTGTGTGCGAGTTTTTCGTGGCAAATGAGACATGTCGGAAGAGTATCTGAGTTGCATATTAATGCGAACAACTCTGTCCAATCCCAATTGAATTCTTGATGCTCTTCTTCAGTTCTTCTCTTTTCTTTGTAGATGCCATGCTTAGGGTAAAGCTGTAATAAAGAATTTTTGGATCAATGGTATTATCTCCCCCAGAAAATATCAATGCTATTATTTCCCCCCAGAATAAAATGTCAAAAATATAAAGATAAAAATTATATAAATAAGTTTAAGAAGTCTTATTAGTCAATTAATTTCAATACACTCACATATTTTAAAAATCTCGTTTCCTATGAAGTGCTCTCTCCACATAAACTCAGCTAAATAAGGTCATTTTAAGGAATCATAATTATTTTTTAGAAAATATCAATGGTATTACTTAGGTGTCCAAAATAACAGATGACAAGTTTTGCAATTATTTACTATGTCAACGTATACCTAAGTAAATACATACAAGAAGCTAGGCATAATGAAATATAATTTATCAAAAAACATTGTACAATAATATTTCCCAATTAAAAACACTTACCTAAATAAAATAAATAATTTTCTAATAATTTAATTATTAAAATAAATAATTTAGACACGAAACACTGTTTGTCTCACTCACGTACTGATTGACTATAAGTACATAGTTTTGTCGTGATAAACACGTTCTGACAAGTCGTGATAAACACGGACTTGTCAGAACTTGTTTATCATGATGCAGTCTGCACATTTTTGTTTTTTTTTAATTTTGGCAAATATTAGATACTTAGTTTACGAGTAAAGGTGTTATGCCCAGCTATGCCGAAATCAATGAAAATTGCCAAACATATAAACAATCTAAAACTGCAAATATCTACCTACTTTGATCCTCGGAGTTCGAAAATAGGTTTATTAAATAACAATTTATAGGTACTTACACTTATAATTATTATTTTAACGCTAATTTTTAAATAATAAAAGCTATAAAATAGATAAATAATAAAATAGGTAATTTATTGAATATACTGTATATTTTAATAAAAACACTTTCGCGGTAATATCCAACAGTAGTACTTAGTTTCTTTTTTGACAATTCTTATTGACTTCAAAAAAAGTAGTTAGGTATCTTATTTGGAAAAATTATGTATAGTATGTATTTTAAAAATATAATAATTATTATGTTACCTACTGTGGTGTTAGTCGCACCACTGTTTGTGTGTTCGCTGAGAATAAATATAGAACCTGTAGTCATATATCTCATTGTTTGCTTTATTCACATTATGTACATAGAAATCTCGTTCTACACTATCAGTACGGTTGGTTAGGATCCATGTGGTGGTACGTGAGAGTAACCGCGTCCAGAGAGTAGTTGACAAGTCGGGAAAAGAAAAAAGAATATGGCGGACGGCCTGCACATGTTTATATATCCGTCACGCCAGCGCCATCTGGATTTTCAGATGTAGCGCTAGTTACAATTATTCGGCCGCCACACACTTCCCCACCAGTGACAACGAGAAGTTTACCGTTATATAGCTACAATATCATTACGGTTAACCCGTCATAAATATCGCGGGTTGAATCGGACCCATCGACTGGATCTGGTTGTGACCGGCGCTCGTCTGTTGTCCGGCATTGTTGCTCCTGCTGTCAACTTATCAGCTGTCTTCTGCTGTTCGGAGTTTAGGGGCGGCCCTCCAGACTTTGTATCTGTGTTTTCCTCGATGAATGCCGGTTTTAACCGGTCTATGTTTATTGCTATCTTTCGGCTGCCCTGTTCGATTGTGAAAACCTTGTCATCTCTTGATATAACATGAAAAGGACCCAAATAGACTGGTTGTAACGAGTTCCTTACCGTGTCATTGCGCACAAATACCTGTTGGCACGAGTTCAGTTCTTCGTGTACGAAGCAGGTTGTCCTGTTTGGTTGCCTGGTGGGTGTTGGGCGTAACTTTTCCATGGTGCTTTTAACACGCCCAACGAAGTTCGCTGGGTCAGGGTTGTACCTGCTTAGAGTAAAAAATTTGCCTGGCAACCTAAGGTTTTGACCATAAATCATTTTGGCAGTGGAGGCCTGTATGTCTTCTTTGAATGCTGTTCGAAGGCCAAGGAGAACCGTTGGGAGTACATTTGCCCAATCGTCTCCTCCATGGCAACGTAGGGCTGCCTTAAGTGTGCGGTGGAGCCGTTCCACCATTCCATTCGCTGCTGGATGGTACGGGGTTGTGCGGATCTGTTTGATGGCCAGGGTTGTTGATAAAGAGTGGAAAAGGTTGGACTCAAATTGGCGTCCTTGGTCTGAGGTCAATCTGAGCGGAATGCCAAAACGGCATATCCAATTCGCGTAAAACGCTTTTGCAATCGATTCCACCAAGATATCGGCGACCGGAATGCACTCCGGCCACCTGGAGTACCTATCGATACATGTAACGATGTATGTAAAGCCTTTCGACGGGGAAAGCGGACCCACTATATCTATATGCACATGCTTGAAACGGAAACTGGGATGAGAAAGGTGCCTGATTTTGAGCGAGTATGCCTGTGCACCTTGGAGCGTTGGCACTGGAGGCAAGCGCGTGTCCACTTGGTTACATATGATCTCATGGACTTCCAGCAGTATCGCTTGCTTACTAATTTTGCTGTTGCGCGGATACCAGGATGTGCCAGACCATGAACAGAGTCAAAAACCTATCGTCTAAACTCCTCGGGAACAAACGGCCTGACCTTGTTTTTTTGACACATCACAATACAGCTGGGCTGCCGAGTCATCTATTGGCAGCAGCTTCAGAACTAACCCGGTCGAGTTGGGGTTGTTAAGTAGCGCCTGCAGCTGGTCGTCTGTCTCCTGGGCTCTAGCCATTTCCAGATAGTTAATCGGCAGATTTGTGATTGCTTCTACACACGATAGCGTGTCGGCTAGAATATTTTTTTTGCCCTTGATATGTCGAATATCTGTTGTAAACTGGGCGATAAAATCTAGTTGCCTAACCTGCCGGGGTGAGCACTTGTCCGATTTCTGCATAAAGGCATAGGTCAATGGTTTGTGGTCCGCGTGAATTGTAAATGCACGGCCCTCTAGCATATGCCTAAAGTGTTGGACTGCCATATAAGCTGCGAGTAGTTCCCTATTGTACGCACTATACTTGCGCTCCGCTGGTGTTAGCTTGCGGGGAAAAAAGGCTAGAGGCTTCCACTCGTCCTGCTTTTGCTGCAAGACCTCACTTACGGCGATGTCAGACGCGTCAACCATCAGTGCTGTCGGTGCTGTGGGATCGGGATATACTAGCGTTGCTGCTCGCGCTAATTTATCTTTGCACTCTTGGAAGGCTTTTTCTGGGTCTTCGTCTCAATTAATCGCACGATTGTCGTTCTTTGCTGCCCCTTTAAGGTACTCACAGAGGGGCGCCTGGGATTTTGCCGCATGGGGAATGAAACGTTGGTAAAAGTTCAGCATTGCCAGGAACCTACGCAATTCACGTACTGTTTTTGGTTGAGGTATCTGGCCTATTGCTGCAACCCTATCTGGCATGGGGCCAACGCCTGAGAGAGTTACGCGATAGCCTAAAAATCTTACCTCAGATTGACCAAGGATGCATTTGGATGGGTTGATCTGTACTCCATATTCTTTGAAGCATTCCAGGACGGTCTTGAGATGCTCCCAGTGTTCCGCTTCGCTGGTCAACGCCACTAACACGTCGTTGAAGTAGGGCACACAAAAGTCCAGCCCGCTTTAGGACTTGGTGAATGAACTGTTGGAACGTCTGTGCAGCGTTGCATAAGCCGAAGCCCATGTATAGGAACTCGAACAACCTGAAAGGGGTGGTCACTGCTGTTTTGAGGACGTCTTCCGGGTTCACTGGAATTTGGTGGTAAGCCCTCGCTAGGTCGAGCGTCGAGAAAAACGGACTTGCTGCGTAACAGTTGCACAGTCTTGTATATGGGGTATGAGATAGCGGTCAGGAACTGTTACTGCGTTTAATCTCCTATAATCTTCACAGGGCCTCCAGTCGCCGTTGCTTTTTCGCACTAGGTGCAACGGGCTAGCCCACTGGCTGCTGGATGGTCGGCAAATTCCTTGGGCCATCATATATTCGAACTCCTTCCTTGCTGCGTTGAGCTTTTCGGGCAGAAGTCTGCGAGGCTTTCCTGCGACTGGCAGTTTCCAGGTTTGAATGAAGTGGATGACACTATGTTTGGGCGGTTCTGTAGGTGTAGATGATGTGACTAGCTCAGGAAACTGCGAGCAGATGATGGAAGGAGGAGTTGTCCCCGACGAGTGATAGTGTCAGTGTTGCCACTGTCACGGCTTTTCCCACGCTTGCAAGTTTAGTTTGGGTATCCATGAGCCTTTGGTGTCGAATATCGACAATCAGACCAAAGTTCCTTAAGAAATCCGCTCCAATTATTCGGTTGGATACTGCAGCTATTACGAACGGCCATTGAAACGACCGGCGCAGACCCAATTCCAATGATAATAGTCTCTGTCCGTACGTTTTGATCTTTAAGTCGTTTGCTGCAAAGAGTTGCAGTCGCTCTGGCTCTCTTCTTGCTTCGGCCGGAGTTGGGGGGGACTACAAAAATGTCCGCTCCTGTATCTATCAGAAAACGCGTCGACGTGGCCTTGTCATGCACGAAAAGCCTATGTCCCCTAGATTGGCCGTCGCCCGTGTCGGCGAGTGACAGACCGATCAGTTTTCCGACTGGAATTGGCAGGGGGACGTGCACTTGTTTGCTTTGTCTCTGAACTTCCGGTGGTACTAGCAGACTTGCCTTTCCTCTGATGTGCTTCTGTTTCGATGGGGAGACGAAAAACGGAGGCTGCGATGCCCACTACGTCGGTAGGGTTTTGACTCTGTGATTTGCTGGATCTGGAGGGACAATTGTGATATCTGTTCTTTCAACTGGGCGATCGCGTCGTCGTGGTTCTCGGCCGGCGGCGGTGACAAGGCGTGAATCTGGCCCATCGGTGTGGTGACTTCGCAAATTTTGTTGGCCAATTCGGCAGCTTTTGTTAGATCTTTGCTGCTTACCGCTAGTATTTGCTTAGTGGCTGTTGGCAAGCACTAGAGTCAAAGTGTCTTTAGCACATCGTCTGAAATTCTGTTTGTGGCTAACTCTCGCATCTTCTGTAGTAATTGAGATGGGCGTTGATCCCCTAGCTCAATGCCTTGAAGCAATAGTCGTAGCCGCTGTTGTTCTGAATCTGCGAACTGGTCAATTAATCGGCATTTGAGCGTGAGGTATTTATCTTTGGTTAGAGGTTGGACGACTATGTCGCTCACTTGGGCGAGGATTTCGCTCTCCATGGCTGCAATAACATGGTTGAATTTTGTTTTGTCAGCTGTTATATTGGCATTTGCGAACGGGGCCTCTATTAGGGCGAACCAAAGGGTCGGATTAGTTTTCCAGAATGGTGGGGCTTGTACCGCCACCCGGGCGATTTCTGGCATGTAGGTTGCCATGCTTCCGTTATCATTGTTTGGCATTTGTCCTCCAGCACGTGTGAAAAAACGTAAAAATAAAAAATAATTATTACTTGCTTGTCCTGAATGCTGATGAATGTCTCTGGCACTGTTAGTCTTCCGGACTTCGATGAAGAGCAGCTGATGTAGTTGGATTAGCTTCGGAACGAGAAATCACATTCGGGTCACCAATGTGGTGTTCGTCGCACCACTGTTTATGTGTTCGCTGAGAATATATATAGAACCTGTAGTCATATATGTCATCGTTCGCTTTATTCACATTATGTACATAGAAATCTTGTTCTACACTATCAGTACGGTTGGTTAGGATTTACATGTTGGTACGTGAGAGTAACCCCGTCCAGAGAGTAGTTGACAAGTCAGGAAAAGAAAAAAGAATATGGCGGATGGCCTGCACATGTTTATATATCCGTCGCACCAGTGCCACCTGGATTTTCAGATGTAGCGCTAGTTACAATTATTCGGCTGCCACACCTACCTTTACTTCGTTTTTTTATTATTATTATATATATGTACTGTACATACATAACTTTGAAAAGATAATTTGCTTCTAACTCTTTTAATCGAAACAACAAACTATACGTCACAGCCAAAGCACTGGTGAAGACGCCAAATTGTCTTGCGTCGAAAGCGAATTAAACCTCATAGAAACATCCCACGACGGCGTCATTCGAGAACTTCTGACGGACTGACGACNGATAATTTGCTTCTAACTCTTTTAATCGAAACAACAAACTATACGTCACAGCCAAAGCACTGATGAAGATGCCAAATTGTCTTGCGTTGAAAGCGAATTAAACCTCGTAGAAACATCTGACGACGGCATCATTCGAGAGCTTCCGACAGACTGACGACAGTGACAATGTGTGTCACGGGGGAGGGGTGCTGTGAAAAGCGAGTACAAGTGGCTGAGAGATATAATCGGTGCCTAATTCTCGTTAATCGATTCAGAACGATTTTTAAATGTTTTTTTTTTTTTTATAAATAATATTTGCACATGGAACTAAAGAGCCGCATGTGGCTTGCAAGCCACAGCGTTGCCGACCTTTGAGCTAGCCCCAAATTAGAAAGATACAGATGGTCAACTCCATATACTTCGGTCGAGTCGTCAACATTTTTAAATACAATCAGCCACTCGATGTGGGTTGCTGTCCGTGGTGAGGGGACCTCCCAGAGATGTTTTAGAAACTCTTCTTTACCATCTCTGGGATCTGAACGCCCACCCACATGTTTGCTGTGTGTGGTATCCCGTATGCTGGAAAGGGAGATTCTGATAGTTAAGGGCAACGTACTGTCCCCAACACACTGCTTTGGCCCCTGCTTCGGATAAACGGGAGGCCCAAATCAGGCTCCATTTGAGTCAATCGGCTGGTCGCTGAGTCATTCTTGACCTCGGCTTGGAGTCAACTGATTGATGCAGACCGATCGACACGTCAGACAAGATGTGCTCTTGACTGCATTGTCAGGGTATAGCTCCTGGGAAACCCTGGTGTGACGGTCTATGGGAGTCTCCCATGTGATGGCATCCCCTTGTTGGGCCCCATGGTGGGTGGGGTCACTAGGAGCTGAATTGTTTTGTCTAAATATGGATTCCAAAAATTTAAAACTAAACAGGGATAAGTTACCTCCAGTAACAACCAACGTTTCCAGCACTGCAACCTACTTGATAGTTTATGCAACTGGTGATAAACCACTGTCAAAATGCTTACCATTTCTTATTCAAAAAATATTTGAATCAACCATTGGGCACTTGAAAAAGATACAAAAATTGAGGTCGGGACCTGCTGATAGAAACAGCCTTACCTCAACAAACAGTAAATCTATTGGCAACAAAAACACTTGGAGAGATGGAAGTCTAAACTCGTCATGTGGGGTGATATCCAAGATTGATCTTATGTCTGAAGACGAATCAGATATACAGATTGGTCTTTCAGATCAAGGAGTCATTGCCGTCCGACGCATCTCCATTCGTCGAGATGGCAAGTTGATACCAACTAAACATCTCATTCTTACTTTCGGAAAGCCAACATTACCATCATTTGTTACTGCAGAATATCTGCGCTGTCCGATTCGTCCGTACATTCCAAATCCGCTGCATTGCTTTAAATGCCAGCGATTTGGACATTCCCAAACATCATGTCGAGGCAAAAGTTAATGTGCACAGTGTGGAGTTGAAGGCCACCAGGGCACTGAGTGTACAATCACTCCATGCTGTGTCAACTGCAAAGAGGCCCATCCTGCCTACTCCCGAAAATGTCCCACATGGCAAAGAGAGAAAAAGATTCAGCGGGTAAAGATGGTGAATAATATACCTTACCCAGAGGCACAATGCATGGTCACTTTAAATGCACCAGTGAAACAGCATTTGCTGCGGTTCTGAAATCCACAAAGACATGTGAAGTTCAGACAGACATTTCTGTTTCATCAAATGAATCTCTAACTCGCCATGAAAAATGTTTGCTTATACCATCTACCCAAACAGCAGAAAAGGAGAGCAAGAAGATCAAAACACCCCTACCTAAAACAGGGGTAATAACTAGAAACGTGGGTTCTACGAAGGCTGCTAAGAACCTGCTCAACAAACAAAAATTAAAAGCAGCCATCTCCAAATCTAAGAGATCAGAGGCTCAGTTTATGAGTGACTTCTCTGACAAGGAGACTAATAAGGAGGTGACACCACCAACTTCACCTCTAAAAGGAAAATCAGCTGTAAAACTAAAGAGGGATACCTTCACAAAGAATGCTGGCTCAAACACATAATGGATTATAAAATAATCCAATGGAACTGTCGTGGTTTCCACAACAATTTCTCTGACATTAAACACTTCACATCATCTACCTCATCTCTCTGCGTGGCACTCCAGGAAACCCATCTGAAACCTGGAGAAAGAATTACTTTAAAGGATTCAATCTCTACTGCAAGGATGATGATAGCTACAACCGTGCCAGTGGCGGTGTGGCTATTCTGGTTTCAAATCGCATTCCATCCTTACTGGTACAAATAACAACAGAGCTGCATGCTGTGGCATTCATTCATTCATTCATTCATTCATTTATTTTTAACATGTAGTATTTACATATTTCCTGACTCCGCTGAGGCATTATCAGGAGAGAAACATTACAATAAATTTAAATTAACATTACAATATATGAATATAACAATACAATTTATATATATGCATTTTTCGTTACACTTAAAAAATAATATCTTAATAATATCTAATTTATCTAAAAAAAATAATATCTAATTTATACATTGGCACATATTATTACAATAATATATTATATTGTTACAATNTTCGTTACACTTAAAAAATAATATCTTAATAATATCTAATTTATCTAAAAAAAATAATAATAATAATATCTAATTTATACATTGGCACATATTATTACAATAATATATTATATTGTTACAATACTATACAATACTGTACAATCTTATTACAATTTTATACCATACAGTAATGCTGCATGCTGTGGCAGTCAGAATTTCTGTTGGAGTAACTGTCACAGTTTGTTCTATATACTTGCCACCAGATGTCAGAGTCAATGAGAATAAACTGGATGCCTTGGTTGAACAGCTGCCAACGCTATTCCTTTTACTTGGTGATTTTAATGGCCACAATCCTATGTGGGGCAGTCCCGACATCAATCGTCGAGGCAGAGCCATTGAGAGATTTATAGGTAATCATTAACTGTATCTATTTAATACTGGAGAAGTGACATACTTCCATGCTCCATCAAGAACGTTCACTGCCATTGATCTATCATTACCAACTCCGAATTTGGTTTCAGCATTTACATGGGAGGTTGGATGTAATCCACTCTCTAGTGACTACTTCCCAATATTTCTAAAATACCGAGGCAGAGAAAGCTGTGAAACTGCCTGTCCACCACGCTGGAAACTAGAAATGGCAGATTGGCCTGGATTCTCCTCTTTGGCTAACATCACTGAGGAAATGGTCAATACTGCTGATATCAATGATGCAGTTGAAGTTGTCACTTTGTGTATTATTCAGGCAGCTGAGAAAACAATGGGAAAGACATCAACAAGATACCCAAAGCATCCGAAACCATGGTGGAACCAGAATTGCGAGGCAGCATTTAAAGCACAAAAGAAAGCTTGGGGGATTTTCAGAAGGTACCCCACTACAAACAATTTGATTGTTTTCCAAAAAGCAAAGGCAAATGCCAGAAGAATAAGAAGGCAAAGCCAAAGGGATTCTTGGAGGAAGTATGTTTCTAGCATAACATCATCCACTAGCTCAAAAGCAGTCTGGGATAAAATCCATAAAATCAATGGGAAATATGCTTTTCACTCTCTGTCCATGCTGGAAAATAATGGCACAATAATCAGCGATATACATGGTATTGCTGATATGTTGGGTGAAACATTTTCTACTTTATCCAGCAATATTATGTATTCAAGAAATTTTCAGGCTTATAAAGCCCAAAGTGAAAAACAATATTTAAACTTTAACTCCTCATATAATGAGGAACATAATGTGACATTCACCAGCATAGAACTACATACAGCGATCTCTTGCTCAGGGAATAGTGCTGTAGGCCTGGATAAAATCCATTACAGCATGATTAAAAATCTGTCAAACAATTCCCTTTCTAATCTGCTGTGTCTGTTTAACAGAATATGGACAGAACATACTTTTCCCGACTCTTGGAGGCTATCTATCATTATCCCTATTCCCAAGCCTGGTAAAGACCACAAGAATCCCTCTAATTACAGACCAATCTCTCTGACAAGTTGCCTGTGTAAACGCTTCGAAAGAATGATAAACAGACGTCTGATGTATCTCTTAGAGAAAAATGAATACTTTTCACTACATCAGAGTGGTTTTCGTAGGAACAGAAGTACCACTGATAACTTAGTAAATCATGAAACATCTATTTGCGAAGCGTTTGTAAGATGACAGCACTTTGTGTCTGTGTTTTTTGATATAGAGAAGGCCTATGATCACTGTTGGCGATACAGGATACTCCGTGATCTGGACCAATTTGGATTACGGGGTAATTTGCTGATTTTTATAAAAAACTTCTTAGAGAATCGAAGATTCCAAGTTAGGATTGGCAACACTTTATCTATGCCTTTCATGCAACAAGAAGGTGTTCCTCAAGGCTCTATTTTGAGTGTGACTCTGTTCCTGATTAAAATTAATAGCATAGCTAACTGTCTTCCCCCTAGTGTGAAACACTCTTTGTATGTGGATGACTTTCAGATCTGCCAGTCTAGCAACATGAGTTTTATCGAGAGACAACTGCAAACCTCCCTAAATCGCATAGACCATTGGTCCAAGACCAATGGTTTTAGTTTTAACATGGAGAAGACCTCGTGCATCCACTTTTGCCGAAGGCGTGGTTTGCACTTGGATCCCAAAATTTACCTAAATGGGGTCAAAATCCCAATGGTGAATGAGGCAAAATTTTTGGGTGTTTTGTTCGACCATAAACTGACATTTTTGCCGCACATGCGCAATTTGAAGAGTAGATGTTTAAAATCCTTAAACCTTTTAAAGGTATTATGCTGCCTATCCTGGGGAGCAGACAAATGTTCTATGCTCAGGATTTATAAGGCCCTTGTCTGCTCTAAGCTGGACTACTGATGTGTTGTGTATGGCTCTGCGAGGGAATCTACTCTTCGGATGCCGGATCCAATTCACCATCAAGCATTACGTCTGTGCACTGGTGCCTTCCGCACCTCTCCTGTCCAAAGTCTGTACGTGGATGCTTATGAGTCTCCACTATCTCTTAGGAGAGAACAATTGTCTCTTTTTTTATTATATAAAACAGAAATCTCATACTAAACCTTCAGTTGAATTTACAGTATCAGATACTCAGCTGAAAAGTCTATTTGAAGCTCGCCGAAGTAGTGTCCCTACATTCAACATAAGAATGGAGAATGTAAGCAGCACGATTGACATTAACACAAGCAACATCTCACATGTTGAGGCTAATAGTATTCCACCTTGGTGGAATACTATTCCCTGCGATAGATGTTGATTTAAGCTTAAAGCAGTTTCCAAAAGAAACCACCCCAGACTATGTCTATAGACAGCACTTCGCAGAAATTCAACATCGTGACAGGAATTTAATTCCTATATACACCAATGGATCTAAATCAGATAACTATGTTGGCCTAGCCTTTGTTTGCCAGGATGAAATTGTGGCAGAGCAAATAGCACCGAATTCTTCCATCTTTTCTACGGAGTTGCAGGCTATTTATTTAGCCTTAAAGTATATAAATAGGAAAGGTCATTGTTGCTGCGTGATTTACACTGACTCAGTTAGTGCACTTCAGGCTTTGATCTCACCAGAACCTAGTTTCCACTCCATAGTGACTAAAATTCGTAAACTGTTTTGCCATCTTCTTGCAAGGAGTTTCTTTGTAAAATTTTGTTGGGTCCCAGGCCATGTAGGTATAAGAGGAAACGAAGAAGCTGACACAGCTGCAAAGTCAGCAAGTTTTCCACAGCATACAATGCGTATTGAAGGAGGTGATTTGAAGCTAGTCGTTAAAAAACGACTAGCAGACAGATGGCAAATTGTGTGGAATGCACAAATCCACAATAAACTATATGAGATCAAACCTTTAGTAGAAAATTGGACACATAATAGGCAGTATGATAGGAGATCTGAGGTTGTCCTTACTCGTTTGAGAATTGGACACACTCGACTGACTCATCAATACCTTTTGAAGGGAGATGACAAACCAGTATGTCAGTACTGCAACTGTGCTGTAAGTGTTAAACACATATTTTGCAAATGTGTTGCTTTTGATCAGATTCGTAGACAGCATTTCAGAAATGCAAACTTTACAGACATTTTGGGCCAGAGGCCAAATCTTGATAATATACTGGACTTTCTGAAAGTCATTAATATGTATAGAGAAATATGATGATTTATTTATTGTATCATTTTATTTACTTTGTGGTGCATATTTAAATTATTGTATATATTTTTTGTTGTTTATTTATTTATTTTTTGTTGTTGTTTATTTATTTATTTATTTATTATATTTTAGATTTTATATTTATATTACCATTGGCATTGGCATTTTAATGGGTAAACTGTTATGTATCGTTTATGTGTATATATGTGTTTTCCTATTTATCTTATACTCTTAATCATACCATGTGTCGTGGCGCAGTATAGCCTGCATGGCTTTTGTGCCAATGAAAATTAACCAACCAACCAACTGTTCTTGACCAATTAGTCTACACCAGTTGGCGTAGCAATCAAAGTGGTACAACATAGTCTTCCGCGGACAATGATTCAAAAAGTAGGTCCCGACACGTTGTAATTTATATACACAATTTACATCAACAACAATACTAAAGTAGCGCAGCACTACACTAGTTACCTGTCCCTTTAGTACCTTCCTTCTGTTTAATTAATTAAGAGTGCCTCCATCTTGAATATTCGTTATGCCTTAAGATGTCCTCCAATTGCCAATGTTCAACATACGGTATTGGATACCGTATGTTGAAATGACTATACTATCCACGTTGTGGTATTGATTTTTGTGAGAGAAAAAATTAAACAGTACTCACTGTTTAAGTTTTCGGGTATCTGGCTGGATGTCGATGGATGAAGTAGCTGATGTCTCTATTAGGCTTAACCCTCGTCAACCACACCAGAATCTACCTCGATGGACCAATTAAATGTTAGTGAGCCTTCGCAATGTTTCCGGACAAATGATACAACGAAGCATAAACATGCCCAGTTACTTTTAATATAAATTGAACCAATACAAGTTGAACAGATAAAAAAATCGCCATCACACCATGCATTATGTAGACGCCATCTTTTCGTCCTTTTTCGCGCTCGTTTTAAAAACCAATAAAAAAAATTATACACATGCCCCCTGCCCAAACATACACTTTTTTCTGAACTAATACGAATGATACCGAACACGCTGTATTGTCAGCTTCCAAACAGCCAGATTTGCGCACGTGCTCTACAGAGCACCAACCTCACCCGGTTTAGCCTGTGGAAGCCTAGGACCTTGGGTGGATGCTACACGTATACCGCATCCGATTCTATCCAGGACTGGTACTGAGCTATTAGCCCGCCCGCTAGATATTTGGCTGCCCTCTCTTGATTACATGAATCGCGAGTAGATTCATAACTTAACCCGACCGATAAGAATTTACTGGTATGCTTTTATGATAGTTCTGTATTATTTATTTATTTTTTGTTGTTGTTTATTTATTTATTTATTTATTATATTTTTAATTTTTAAAAATATAATAACAGGAGTTTTAAAAAATCTATTAAAATATTTGATATATTTATTATGCTTTTATTTTGCTCTCCGATTTTATATTACTGACGGATTTCAATGTTAAACCAGTTATGATATGATTTCATACTGTGAGGATCACGAATACCCTGGACAAAGAAACACAACTTTTACGATATAAGAGTCTTTAATTCGCGTACAAAATACAGGAATATTGATCGGCTGCCAGCTACAAACTCTATCCCTTAACTTATTACTAAATTTTAGTAACAAAAATTCAACGAACAAATTATATAACACGACAATTCTTCCTTAGTTGAATGACTATTATACTGATAAAATATACAATTATATCTTACAACTAATTATTACCTACTAAAAATGAAAAATAGATCTAAGACAAGAAAGGAGTTGAAATGTAAAGATGAGAAGAAAGAAAAAGTCAGGTACCCAATAAACTTGGCATTCTTCACGGTGAATTTTCATAAGTTGAGTGAGCCTCTTGATTCACGGCCAATGAAAATTACTTTCCTAAGGAATTTCAATTTCGCTGTACACTCTAGAACGAACGAAAATGCCCTTCTCAGTTTTCGCTATCCTCGTTTTCTTTTCTCCTCAAAAAGTCCGTTTCATCTCCACTTGGTCCCAAAAAAACTTTGAGAGCCTTCCTCACGTGTCCTTTCCTCTCTCGTACTAGACCCAAGAATGACCTCATGGACCCCGTTATACCCTGAGGGTCGCACACCTTCCCCTTCTTACTAAGGGGTCACCTGCTGTTACGCTGTTAAACAAAAGTAGGGAGAAACTTCCAGAAAGAAAGACAATAGAAATGAAGACAAAGGGAAATATATTGAATAAAAATAAACTATAACTATACAATTATGGCACGTAGCCACAGTACGTTTCATCTATAAGGGGATGTAGAAAGAAACGTATACATTTATTGTACAATGTTAATAAATTAACCGTTACTTTGGTAGCATCATTTACAACTAAATTTAATGAATGAGAAAGATGCACGAGGTACAAAAAAAGCTCTAGAATTTATTTTCCTTAAATTTACGATTTATGAATTCGTTGTCATAAAAATTTGTCTTTTCACTTTTTTCCAAGACTACAAACATTCGAGTACAAAGTAACCGGTTTTGACTTATTTCTACTTAAGAAGTAGTTAAATAATTAAGCAATTAGGGAATTGGGGACATAAATAAAACACTGACGAAAAAGCCGAAATTTTACTTAAATGAAAGCTTAACCGAACCAATCTCTAGTCAAGTACAGTGGGGACTGATTTCTTCGTAATATTAAATGTAATAAAGACACAAATTTTTCCAGTTTAATGACAGTGACCGAAAAGTTGTAAATTTTGGAAATTTCCGTGAACTCTTGTCCTAAAAGGAATTAGTTAGAAAACAAATGACGGACAATCTGTTAAGTTTAACATATTTATTAGTCTTTTACAGCTATGGTGAGAAACGTTTAAGATCTACAAAAACCCTGTGGCATCCTTTGAGGTATACTAGTGATCTGACAAAACAGGCATTTGACATTGACTGGTATGGACACCCTCGGGATCTGGCAGGCTGCGTGCATGCAAGCACCGCGCACCTAGCAGGACCGTTTCTGATTCCACTCGTAGGGAGCTATTTGACTAAGTTGTTAAGATTTAAAAAGTAAAGATTTTATATTATTTTTATGTACGTTTCTTTACAAAGCTATATTTAATTATAATTTTCTTTAAAAGTATATTCTTACAATTGAAGAATATTTTGTACCAGGTATGTATATCCACCACACATTTTATTTCACCGAGTAAGTTTTTATAATTTTATTTTTAATTGTAGCCCTTATATTATGGCTAGTGATTTAGAATGTAATTGTGATATTGAAAATTTATTTTAAAAAAGTTTTGGTTAATAATAATAATAATCATATAATAAAAAAGTAAACATTATTAAAAGAGAAAGGCCAATGCTTAAGTTAAATATAAACATATCAAAAAAAAATTTTGTTCTACATTTTCACAATAAAATGGCTCTGTAAATGCAAAAATTGTTTTGTTGGTTTGCCTACTACTGTATTTTCAAATGAAATTAGTGTGTCCAATAAGAATGGCTTTGACAATTTACACGGAAAAAACACGAAAAATTGTCGATATTTTTGTATTTGAAGCAATTTGGAAATCAAATCGGAATAAAATTTAACATTAGTAAACAATACAAAATAAATATTGAAAATTATAACGAGATAGTTACGGCTAATAGATATATCTAAATTAATAGATGTTATATGTTTTTATCAAATTTAGAGGGTGTAGGGAATCTATTGAATCTAATAACAGAGGTAATTATATCGAACTTTATTAATAACTATTTATTAATCATGTCAGATAAATAATCTTTTCAAAATACATTTAAAGAATTAACTGATCGCCCCTGGAAGTCGGCTTCTTACAGAAACACAGCTTCCCTATCATCAAATGTCACTGCAATACACAGCATAAAAAGCCTGTTTTAAAGCGAAAAAATAAATGAAAATAATATTTGGAATGTTAGCATATTTATTCTAACAGCAAATGTTCAATGTAAAAATGTTATAAAGACTGCGATGTTTATTAATCTTAATTCGTCAAAACTAACAGTTATAATTCTGAGTTTCAGCAGTTCCATAAAAAGATTGTCAATACATTTGCTGTGAAAAAATTATTTATAAAACTTTTTCGTTCATAAAAGTGATATTCGCAGTAGTTTTTTCATAGCATCTGTTTTTATGGAGAACTCCGGTTAATTGAATGAGAGAAGAGAAAACAGAATATAATCCACTGATAACCTGAAAATAATGTAAAAGTTAATAAATATAACAGCACTAAACTAAAAATAATTAGAATATATATACCTTTGACTCTCAAAAAGATTTAATTTTTTAAAAGCTAAAAGCAAAGAACTATTTACCCTTATCAAGAAATTTTTCTTAATGTAGAAAAATCCGCACATCGATAATCCGAAAGGTCTTCCTCCGAATCTCTTCATGAAACAAATAATCTGAAATGATTGAATTATTAACCCAACTACATCAAACATTGCATAAACTGAAGGAAAAAAAACCTACTTTGAATCGGTATTCTGGTGTGAAAAAAGAATTATATCTCCCTATGCTAATAAAATTATCGTAGATCTGAAGTACATAAAACATTTATTTCATATTAAATATATTAATTATATAATTAAACAATTTTAATTTTCAGATTATAAATAAACAGCAATACTCACGATTGATGTAAAATATGATAACGCCCACGACACTATTAATGATGCAATCAATAACAATATTCCAAATACTGCTAGTACAATACGAAAAATTATATCAATCTTTACAAAGAGAACAATATATATACAGAAGCAAGTTTCATAGACATAAAAGGTGTAAATAAGAGGAAAGAACATTTTCCATTTTTCATTAATCTCTTCGAATATTTCCCAAATTTCCCAAAGATTATCCATTAGTTCATCAACGAATGTTTTTCTTGCATTAATTACAAGTTGCAACTGAACAGAAATGTTTATCAACCTCTTTCCTAAAAGTAAAAAAACGATCAAGAAAAGTACAAATATACAAAATACGTGAGACATAATATAAAGTACCCAAAGTTCGAAACCAAAAAGGCAAAACAAAGACATTTTATAATTGTAGTGTGCAGATTTAAAAGCTGAATAACCGATGAACCAAATTGCCGTGAAACAACACAGAAGAATAAAAACACAGAAATAGTAACAGTGAAAAATATATCTTTCATATTTCTGGATAAATTTTTCTTCTTTCTTGAAATTCTTCATCAAGTGAAAAATATTAAGTTTTCGTTTTTTAAAAATACTGAATTGTAGAGCTGCGTACAAGGAACTCCACCATGCAATAAACTTAATGTAGAATTTGTTATTTTCAAACACCAGTGCTAGATGATTACAAAACCCTTCAAATGTTATCATTGTTGTATACAATAATACCATCGTCCACAAAAATATTTCAAGTAAATTTATGTAAATTTTGAAAAGATTCTGAATTCGTTTTGATCTTTTCTTTCGACAATTGCATGTCTCTAACATATTCAAACCAAATATTTCCATAACAGTAATGAACGGTTGAAATTTTTCAGCAATGCAGTTATTATATGACAGCTCCATTTCTACACAAATACAGTGTTTGTGTTGTTGTAAGTTAATATTAAATTGTACTCTGGTTTTAATATTCACTGAAGATTCAGAAAAATGCACTACAGTATTCGAGAAAAGTTACAATCTTTACAATTACGCTTGTAATACTGGGAAGTTCTTAATTAAAGTGAATGTAAAAACGGTAAAAGTTGCTTCTGATTGGTAGATACCCAAATATTCCACAGAAAATCGATAGAGTGACGTCAACAGATGCTTAAACGAATCACTTTACAGACTCTGTAAGAGAGTCTGTTGCCTGGAAACATGTCGTGATCAATAAAATATAACTTCTATGTCATTTGTAATAGGCCATTGTTTGACATACTTTATAAATGATTTTAATGTATTTGAATGTTGATCGATAATTTTGTAGTAAAACTAATGAACAACTAAACAGAAATGTTTACTATATTCTATCTAGAAAGGGATATTTCTGTAGATTAAAAGCTATTAATGTTTATCTTCCCGTGTGGTGTTCTATTTCTATTGATTATCCAACACAATATAGTGCAATTTAACGATAGTTGAAAGTAAGCCAAGTGATCGTTAAATTGCACTATATTGTGTTGGATAATCAATAAGCTATTAATGTATTTACCGTAATTAATAGAAATTCCTGCATGTATTATTCTACCATTAAGGCATTTATTTTAATTGATAATACTTAAATGAACGCAATAATGTATTGGATTTATCGATTTTTTGAAATAAATGAATAGCTCAGCCTTTAATAATATACTTGAAAAATAATGTGTGTAACTCAAAGTAACATATGTTAAAATATATATATAATATTTCTGGTTGGTTGGTGAGATGGAATTTTTTGGCACAAGAGCCATATAGATCAAGCTGCACCATGTAAAATGGTAAAGTTGGAAAATTAAATATATATATATATATTATAAAATAACAGCAACAACAACAACAAACAATAACAAACATATGAAACAGTACAAATAAACAAAACAACAGACTATCTAAAAGTAAAATATAAATAAATATGCACATCTATTTATACGTATTAGTGACTTTCAGAAAGTCCAGTAGCTTATCGATGTTTGGCCAGTGGCCCAGTATCTTTGCCAAACTTTCAATCCGAATTGCTGTGAACGACTCCTCACAAAAGCAGAGCAATTGAACATTATGTGTTTAACACTTAAAATACTGGCTTGCAGGCTGCTCTTCGCCTTTCAGAAGGTATTGTTGAATCAGACGATTATGTTTATTCCTCAGGCAGATACGGATTACTTCAGATCTTCTTTTATAAACTTCATTATGTATTCAATTTTTTGCCAAAGGTATGATGTAGTTTATTGTGGAGTTGTGCATTCCATACGTTTTACCATAGCTCTGCTAATCGCTTTTGAACGACTAGCTTCAAATTGCTTCCTTTAATAAGCATTGAATGCTGTATAGGATCCGCTGACTTTGCAGCTGGGTCAACTTTTTCATTTTCACTTATAGCTACATGGCCTGGGCCCCAACAAAATTTTAGAGAAAAATTACTCACAAAAACATGGCAAATTAGTCTACGAATTTTAGACACCTTACATATATGTCTACTATAGAATGTTCTCTCGAAAATAAAGACAATTTCAAGAATTTTTATCAAGAGAATTAAGGTTCTTTTGAGAGAAGGAGGTTGTTCTCTCGAAAATACTTATTCAAAAATATTCACTTTAAAGTATATAAATACCTGGTTATCATTATAAAGGTGTATCACATTGAAAACTGAGTTAGTTTAATATTCACTTATAGGGGAAAGGAGGGAAACAGTACGCACCTTATGTTACTTTTTTACATTACTCAGGTCTGTACTGTTTAAAGCAAAATACATTTTTGTCTGAATAAATATCATTTATACGTCTTTCTTCTTGGCTGTGTTAGAAAGAAAAAAGAAACAAGTACAGTTTTGACAAGAAATTTAAAAGAGAAAGAAGATTTTGGCCACTAAATGGGGTTAAAATCCCAACGGTCAATGAAACTAAGTTTCCGGGTACTGTTTGACAAAAAAACTGACTTTCTCGCAACACTTGAGCAATTTGAAGAGTAAATGCGTAAAGTCTAAAACCTCTTACTGGTAATATGCTGCTTATTTTGAGGAGCAGACAAATGTTCTATTGCTCACTATAATGCTCACTATATATAGTGTCCTTGTCTGCTCTAAGCTGGATTATGGATGCATTGTGTATAGCTCAGCACGAAAATCTACTCTTCATATGCTGGATCCAATCCACCATTAAGTATTGAGTTTGTGCACTGATACTTTTAGGATTTCTCCTGTTCAAAGCTTGTATGTTGATGTCTATGAGCCTCCACTATCACTCAGAAGTGAACAGTTTTCTCTCTTCTATTACATTAAACTGAAATCTCAGACGAAACCTTTTGTTTACTATACAGTATCAGATATTCAGATGAAAAGATTATCTACAGCTGTCCATCTAATGTTTTTACATTCGACATAAGAATGGAGAATGCAAGCAGCACGATTGAACTGGATAGATGCAACATTTTACAGCCCGAGATTGATAGTATATCTCCTCGGTTAACTCTTGTAATAAAAGTAGATTTTAGCTTAAAGCAATTTCCTAACAAATCTACCCCAGAATGCGTATACAGATAGTACTTTAACACGGTCACAATAATTTAATTTTTATTTACACAGATTTATTTACGTTGGCTCAGCCTTTGTCTGCCAGGATGAAATCGTGGCAGAACAAATACCACTGAATGCTACCATCTTCACTGCAGAACTGCAGGCTATCCACTTAGCCTTAAAGTATATGAGTAGCAAAGTTCATCTTTGCTGCGTGATTTACACTGACCCAGTTAGTGCACTTCGTCTGAATGTAGTTTTCACTCCATAGTGACTAAAATTCGTAAACTGATTAGTTATTTTTTGAGAGTAATTTCTGTCTAAAATATTGTTGGGTTTCAAGCCATGCAGGTATAAGAAAAAATGAACAAAGTTGCAAAGTTAGCAAGTTCTTTTAAGCTTGCAATGCCTATTGAAGGAGTCGACTTGAAGCTGTCCACCAGTCCACAATATACTGCACAAGATCAAATCTTTGGCAAGAAATTGAAAATATGAGATTCATGAAAGGAGATCTGAAGTAATCCTTATCTAACTGAGAATTGGACATATTATCCTGATTAATCAATATCTTTTGAAGGTAATGATCAGCCAGTATGCTACAGCGTACTGCAAGTGTCAAACCGATACTGTGCGAATGCCCTGAATTTGAACGGAGCTCTCACCAATCATTTTCAAAATGAACGCTTTGTCAAGAAATTTGAGCTACAGGCCAAATATTGACTGGCTACTGGTTTTTTTTAAAGTCGTTAATTGTTACAAAGAGATTTACTTATTGTACTAGCATTAGAACGTGGCATTGCTTGGGCAATGTAACAAGAAATATAAAGATCATGAAATTCTTTCGTACTTCTAACTTTTACATTATATTATATTATCATATTTGATTTATATAAATACAAATGTTATCTTAGGTAATGGTTTGTCCACTGTCCACTAAAATGATTTCAAACAGTAAGAAACGGAACCGCTGTAGAAATGAGTTTTATTATGTAAATAATTAGGCAATCCACTGTGTTTCTGTTATTTGTTTTATGAGGAAAAACGAGTAATTTCAATAGATTTGAACAATGTTGCAATCAACAAAAAATATAATTGGAAAGTAACTTGAGATATTTTAAATTTTTTTAATCCTTTTTTTTCCATCCAACACAGAATTTATTATATCTTCATAAAACCACATAAATAGATTACTGAAACTTACTGTTATTTTATGTTGGATGGTTAAAAAAGATTAAAGAAATAACTTTAAAATACGTTTACTTAATTTTTAATTTAAAATAGTCCTAAGTTTGTCGTCTTTATGGAAATAGTGCACAATTTTTATGCAAAAAAATATATAATTTTAGTATTCGCCTCTTATTTAATTTTCAAATTTTAAAATTTTAATCAAATGCATATTAATGTTATTCAGTTAATGAATTTTAATTAAGTTATATAAGGCACTTTGAAAATAGTTTCCATTGTTTGTACTGTAATGCAACGTAGAATTTAACGATGCAAAAGCTATTTGTAAAATGGCAGAATACACTTTAATGTTATGAAATTATGAAAGCATAGTTTGGACTTTTATAGCATAAAAGATATTTTGAAACATCTTATACGAGACATCATTACAGAGTATCTCGCTTATTTTAATTATTTTCTACAGAATCACTTGATAATAAATTTACGGAATGTGAATGATGCAGAAAATTTTAATTTATTTATTAATTTTTAAAAATAGAAAACGATTTGTGAGAGAAAAGGATTTTAGAAAATAAACGTTTTAGTACTTTGTAGACTCAAAAACTAATTTTATCAGAAATTGATTATTATAATTAGAATTCACCTAACTCTTTTATTCTAGATAATGAAAATTTGTGATTAAGTAATGGTAACCAAAAGTTAAAAGTAAAGTTAGTTTATTTCTTGGGTAATTAATAGCATGTCCAAAAGCCGTAACCTCGGCCATGTAATTAAATATTATGTGAGAAGCCGGGGGTCAAAAGATAAAGCTCTAAACCAGAGGTGTCCAACCTGCGGCACAAGGCAAGCTCCAATGCGGCCAATAAACGTGTAAACAAAACCGACAAATGTTTTAATGTTTTTTTATTATTTATTTATTTCAACGGCATAAACTCATAAAAAGAAGTTTTACAAAGTCGTAAATCTTTATTCATATTTTATTTTTGAGTGGAAAAGAACTTTGAGTGGAAATACTTGGAGATGTGTGAATGAGGAAGGATTACTAAATAAAGCTGGAATTGTGACTCTTATAGACACAAATTTGGGGAAAAAAGGGAAAGGTGAGAAAGGACAAAAGATAAAAAGTATTGAGAAAGGTTAAATAGATCTTCTGTTACGCAAATATTGACCCTTCGTTTTCCAACCTTTCACACTTCTTTATCTTTTCTCTCTTTT